TTTTGCACAGCTGCTCCAGCTTCACTTCACCTTCAAACCACGGACTGTCCACATTGATTGGCCAGCGTTGTGAATTCAGGATGTCAATTTCAGAGACAAGAGTTTCAAATTCACCTGACTGTGATGAAGCTGCAGGTCTGTTGCTCGCAGTTAAAGCAAAGAGTCTGGAGCGTAAATTATCCAGCAAACTTTGATAAAATTGAGGGAGATTTATCTTTACTTGGCCTTTTGAACTCTCTGGATTGATGGTCACACCTTTGAAATTCCCTTTCTCCAGCGATTCCATGACTTCTTTCAGATGTTTGTCAGGCATGTCTTTCATTTTTTCAACTGCACAAACTGAACGATTAATCAGCTGATAAGCTTGTGGAAGTGTGATGTAATTTCTTTGTAAAGCTTCAGATAACAGTCCCTTTTCCTGAACAGCATCCGCAACCCCTGCAAGGTTTAACAAATAATCTACTGATGTCAAGACCTTGTTAAGGCCACTAAATACAGATTTCTGCTTACTGTTATGAGCTGAGGTTAAGCTATCAAGAAATAACTGTGTAGTGCAGGATAAGACTCCCAAACTGCTCGTATAGCTCTCTGGCTTGAAGCAACCCATCTAACTGAAAAAACTTTTCCAATTTTAAGAATTTGTTCTTCTAATTCTTTTGCAAATTCTGAGAGCTCTGCCAGATTTTTTTGGTGGTCAAAAAATGTTGAGTGATGAAGACCAGGAATAGAATCAATTGTATCTGAAATGCACAATTCAAGCCTATGACACAAGCAGTGCCATTTCACAATCTGTGGATATTTTTGACTGAGTCGTTCCAGAACACCCGACTTTCTTTCAAGCATTACACTTGCACCTTCACTGCAAGCCCAAATCCAGTTTTCGGCAAGAAAGTCATTACTGAACCCAAATTTAGAGAGACAAGCTAGAAGAGTGGCTTCAATAGACTGTGCATCTGCTTTAGGCAAATCAAGCAAATTGAGAAAGAAACTGACAGAAAGTGTCTTTTCCGTTAACAGAGGAATGAATATAAACGATTAACACTGAATGGGTAAAAACTGTTGTAGACTCATCAATATAAACAGAAATTTTTGTACCCTGCTCAACAATTGCTTTGCAAAGCTTTTTTCTCATTTCACTAGCAATGCAATCTATTATTTGTGCTGCTGTGTACTCACTATGGAGAATACATCCTAAGTCAGCTCCATTTGCAATTTGCAAGCTGAGAAGATCTTTGAAGTCTGTTAAAGGGCGATTTTTTTTCGCACAAAAGTAGGCAGTGCGAAATACCTTAGTGGTGGACGCAAACTTATGCTTCTGCTGCTCTGCAATATTGGATTGCAGAATCTCCTTTCTGGATACTGCTTGGATATCCCCTGCCTTTACATGTGCTTCTGAAATCTTAAGTATGTGGATTTGTTTATGTAGTGAGGTCAACATATCTTTTTTTTGTTTTGCCATATGTACCAGTGCTCCATTCTTTAGAAATGGATACACCCTGTGAAACAGACACTCCAAGGTGTTTAACCTCGCGACACACTTTGCACCCTAAAAGACCATTGTCTACAAACAGCCAAGGGTACTTTTTTTTAGATTCTAGCCAATGATTCTGGTCTCAACATTCTGGAAGAATGTTATCACTGACATCGGCATCTTCAGCCACATCAGTAACCATGTCCACTGCAGCCGATTCACTGATTGGTGTAGTCTCTGCAGCGAACACCACCTGCTGAAGCAAAGGCTCAGACTGAGTGGAGCAACTTGCAGAATTAGCATGTGATTTTTTTATTGGATGCCTTCGTGAAGAAATCCGTAATGCTGCTTTTTCGTTTGCTCATTTCTGTACAAATAAAAACTATTTTTAAAAATGGTGTAAAATCATTTTCTGATTTAAAAGAAAAATTCTGATAAAAAGACCTCTTTAGGCAAAGAATTCCCCATCCATTCTGTTATTACCTCTTATTGTGAAAAACTCTTTCCTCTGTTGTCTCTGGTGGCAGTGGTGGGGGTAGTCCGGTGACTGTGAGGTGCAGGGTAAGGCACAAATCAGCACAATTGTATGAAATAAAATGTATAATTATTCTAAAAATTATTTTTAAAAAAACTTAAATGATCTAACAATTAGTCTCATATATTAGTCTCCAGTCCAGTGGATGTGACACAGATATCAGTTATTTTACATATGGTTTGTGATTCTGTTTGCCACTCTTTAGTGACTGTGTTCTTAACCCCTTCAGGTCGGGTGATGGACGAGGTCCATCATGGCAGGGAGACCCTTAACGCCGGGTGACGGACCATGTCCCACACATGCTTAAACTCCTTTACTGTGTTAACCTCTACCACTTCAGCTGGAAGGCTATTCCATGCATCCACTACCCTCTCAGTAAAGTAATACTTCCTGATATTATTTTTAAACCTTTGTCCCTCTAATTTAAGACTATGTCCTCTTGTTGTGGTAGTTTTTCTTCTTTTAAATAGAGTCTCCTCCTTTACTGTGTTGATTCCCTTTATATATTTAAATGTTTCTATCATATCCCCCCTGTCTCGTCTTTCCTCCAAGCTATACATGTTAAGATGCTTTAACCTTTCCTGGTAAGTTTTATCCTGCAATCCATGAACCAGTTTAGTAGCCCTTCTCTGAACCCTCTCTACGGTATCAATATCCTTCTGAAGATACGGTCTCCAGTACTGCGTATAATACTCCAAGTGAGGTCTCACCAGTGTTCTGTACAATGGCATGAGCACTTCCCTCTTTCTACTGCGAATACCTCTCCCTATACAACCAAGCATTCTGTTAGCATTTCCTGCTGCTCTAAAAACATGTATTTTTTTCTTCACTGTAAGTTTGAGCTCAAACTATTTAACCAGGAAAGGTACCTTCAGATTACTCTGATTTTCAAGTACATCCTGGGGATGTTAGCTTAGCCCAACATCCAAGGGTTGTTACTCTTACCCAATGGTACTCATTATCCTTCTGAAGATACGGTCTCCAGTACTGCGCACAATACTCCAAGTGAGGTCTCACCAGTGTTCTGTACAATGGCATGAGCACTTCCCTCTTTCTACTGCTAATACCTCTCCCTATACAACCAAGCATTCTGCTAGCATTTCCTGCTGCTCTAAAAACATGTATTTTTTTCTTCACTGTAAGTTTGAGCTCAAACTATTTAACCAGGAAAGGTACCTTCAGATTACTCTGATTTTCAAGTACATCCTGGGGATGTTAGCTTAGCCCAACATCCAAGGGTTGTTACTCTTACCCAATGGTACTCATTTTATCTACCTCTGAAAGATGAAGGGCTGAGTCAATCCTGCCGGGATTCACACCTGTGACCCAAGGGTTGAACAGATTCTACTGATGACGCATGAGCCAACTGAGCTATCTCACCAGCCTTTTTTTTTTTTTGGCACTGTAGCTTCACGAAACACTGCCAAAGACATACAATGGGGGTATCGTTGAACTCAGCAGATGTAGCTAAACACAAAATAAAGTGTTGTACAGGAATAGCACACACCAACTTTACAAAATACACATGAGAAATTCTTTGTTATAAGTTTGTGTGCCAAAAACCAAAAGAAACACAATTTTACTCCAATATTTAGCAGAGATTGGCGGTGAAATGGCTACGTAGAAAGTGTCAAAACAACCTTAGGGTAATAGTCTGTGATGTCTACTTTATATAAATATATACTTTTGTGTGGCAATTTTGTTTTCTTTTATGGCTATTAAGCTTACAAGACAAACATACCAAATTCTAAAATCGCTCCACATTAAACGTTTATTTTACTCCTTGTCCTTTGTGCCCCTTAACTACCAAAAAAACCTTAAAAACACATTATATATTCTGTAAATCAGAACAACTAAATTAATTTATTTGTAATTACTTTCTTTAACCCCTTCAGGACGGGTGACGGACGAGGTCCGTCACAGAGGGGAGACCCTTAATGACGGGTGACGGACCTCGTCCGTCACGCGGTAAAATTAACCCCGGATCGCCGCTATCGCGGCGATCGCGGCGATCGCGGCGATCGCGGGGTTAATGGTGCTCCGGTATGCCTCTGTATTAGAGGCATACCGGGAGCACCCGGTCAGGCTGCCCAGCACATGTGCTCGCTCTGACCGCAAGTCAGAGCGAGCACATGTGCTCTGTATACTCACCTACCGGCTCCCTGCACTTCCGGGTTCTGTGTGAAGTGCAGGGAGCCGGATCAGTGATGATCCTGCCCCCTGCTGTTAAAAAAATAAAGTTAATTTAAAGTCCCCCCCCCTTACCCATTTTAATAAAAAATTAACCCCTTCCCTGCCAATTGATCACTGACTACAGTGATCAATTGGCAGGGATTAAATTTTACTATGATCTGATTTTTTTTTAACCCCTGAGGGTTAATTCTTTTTTTTTTTAACCCTCATGGGTTAAATGTATTTAATTAATTAATTAAAATATTTTAAAATTATATATTTAGCTAGCTGGGGTGGGTGGAAGTTAGTGGGGAATTGGGGGATTAGGCGTTAGGCTAACTAGGGGTTAACGTTAAAAAAAGTTTTAAAATAAACTTTAAAAAGTTAAAAATTAAGCTTCAAAAAATGTTTTAATAACGTTTAAGTAAAAAATAAAAAAAAACCTTTACCTAGTCCAAATAAAAATTAACCCCTTCCCTGCCAGTCGATCACTGCCTACAGCGATCAAATAGAGATCACAGTATTATACTGTGATCTAATTTTTTTTTAACCCCTGAGGATTAACTTTTTATTTATTTTTTAACCCTCAGGGGTTCAATTTATTTAATTAATTAATTTAAATATTTTATAACTATGTATTTTGCTAGCTGGCGTGGGTGGGAGTTATGAGAAAATGGGGAATTTACTGTTGGTGCTGTGTACTGCTAGTTAGGGGTTAACGGTAAAAAAAAAAAGCTTAGAAAAATGTTAAATCTGTAAAAAAAGTTTTAAGAAAGTTTAGGAAAGTTTAAAAAAATTAATACGCAAAACAAAAGTTTAAAAACTAGTTTTTAAAAGTAAAAAATTATAAAAAGTAAAAAAATACATTTTAAAAACGCTCATTACCACTACACCTGGAACAAACTAGAGAAAAAATTATCCCAAGTCCAAGGTTCAAAATATGCCTTTTGAATCACCCCAGGTTGTATTCTTTAATAAATAGTATGTGTTTGTGGGGAAGTTTCAATAACCAACCGTCTAAACTACTCCAAATTGGAACATGGACACAGCGTAAAACTTCAAAGTTAGAAAAAAACTGAATGGCTGCGTCTTAAATGCGCCCCTTCAACATCCACACATACCTGGCAAAGGTACATACAGGGGTATTGCTGTACTCAGCTGATATAGCTGAGCAACATATGAAGTATTATACAGTAATAGCACACATAAGGTTTGCAAAATATTCTGCGCAAACTCACTTTGTATGTCAAAAAGGCAGAAAAAATGCTTATTACCACTACACTTGGTACAAGCTAGCGAAAAAATGATCCCACGCTAAGGTTCAAAATATGCCTTTTGAAATACCCTGGGATGTCTTCTTTAAGAAATGGTATGGCTTTATGGGGTATTTGGATTATATAGCCTGGTAAAATACTCTAAAATGGGACATAGCCACAGCATAAAAATTCAAAGTTTGAAAAAAAACTGGAATGGCTGTGTCCCAAATGTGCCCCTCCGATGTCCACACATACCTGGCAAAGGTACATTGCTGTACTCAGCCGACATAGCTGAGCAACATATGAAGTATTATACAGTCGTAGCACACACAAGGTTTGCAAAATATACTGTGCAAACTCACTTTGTATGTCAAAAAGGCAGAAAAAACGCTTATTACCACTACATCTGGTACAAGCTAGCGGAAAAATGATCCCACGCTAAGGTTCAAAATATACCTTTTGAAACACCCTGGGGTGTCTACTTTAAGAAATGGTAGGCCTTTGTGGGGTAGTTTGAATTTAAAACCTGCGAAGATGCTTGGAAATTGCACATAGGCCCAGCGTCAAAATTCAAAGTTTGGTAAAAACGGATATGGCTTGGTCTCCTATATGGCACTGTAGCTTCACGAAATAGTGCCAAAGACATTCATTGGGGGTGTCTTTTTACTCAGAAGACTTAGCTGAGCATAATTTGGGGGTTTGAACTTAGTGGCACATATGAAATATACAAAACGCCCAGCAAAAATGCAATCCGTATGTAAAAAATGCACAAAATAATTTTTTACCACATACTTTGGCATATATTGGTGAAAAAATGGGGGTATGTTAAGGCACAATATGCACCTTATAAGATACCCTGGAATGTCTCCTTTTACAAATGCTAGGCCTTTGTGGGTTTTTTTTGAACAATCAAACTGTTATAATACCCCAAATGGAAGCTAAGGCTCATTAAATCCATCTCTCAAAATTCTACTGTGAATACTGTAAAGGACAGGTCTCCTATATGGCACTGTAGCTTCACGATATAGTGCCAAAGACATTCATATGGGGTGTCATTTTACTCAAAAGACTTAGCTGAGCATAATTTGGGGGGTTTGAACTTAGTGGCACATATGAAATATACAAAACGCCCAGCAAAAATGCAATCCGTATGTAAAAAATGCACAAAATTATTTTTTACCACATACTTTGGCATATATTGGTGAAAAAATGGGGGCATGTTAAGGCACAATATGCACCTTATGAGATACCCTGGAGTGTCTACTTTTACAAATGGTAGGCCTTTGTGGGGTTTTTTTGAACAGTCAAACTGTCATAATACCCCAAATGGAAGCTAAGGCTCATTAAATCCATCTCTCAAAATTCTACTGTGAATACTGAAAAGGACAGGTATCCTGTGTGGCACTGTAACTTCACAAAATAGTGGCAAAGACATACAATGGGGGTGTCGTTTTACTCAGCAGATGTAACTGAACACAAAATAAAACTTTGTACAGGAATAGCACACACCAACTTTACAAAATATACACGAGAATTTCTTTGTTATAAGTTTGTGTGCCAAAAACCAAAAAAAACACAATTTTACTCCAATATTTAGCAGAGGTTGGCGGTGAAATGGCTACGTAGAAAGTGTCAAAACAACCTTAGGTAAATAGCCGTGATGTCTACTTTATATAAATATATACTTTTGTGTGGCAATTTTGTTTTCTTTTATGGCTATTAAGCTTACAAGACAAACATACCAAATTCTAAAATCGCTCCACATTAAAAGTCTATTTTACTCCTTGTGCTTTGTGACCTGTAACTACCAAAAAAAACTTTAAATCCCAGACACATTGTATATTCTGTAAATCAGAACAACTAAATTAATTTATTTTTAATTACTTATCTTATAAAATAGAAAGGTGAACAGCGCTAAAAATCAGAAAATGTACATACGTTTTGTAGAAATACTGGCCAGCAGAGTAGCTTAAAAAAAGAGAGAAACAAAAATACAAATAATGGTACAGTATGTATGAACGATATAATTCCACAAGAACAAAGATGTTATATTCACACTCACACTTTGAGGAGCTATATCAGCTCGGTGTTAAGAGCCTGGACGGAATAATCCCCGTCTATGGATTTCTTGAGGTTCAAGACCGTTGGTGAATTTATAGTTGTAAATATTCGTTACATGAAAAACAAGAGTAAAATACACCACATGGTATAGTACGTAAATATAAAATATTGTGAAAAAAAAAGTGGATGATCCTACTTACATATACTAGAGCAACGACCTGCTCTAGTTTGGAGAATTTCAGGTGGAATAATCCCCACCTTGGGATATAGTGGACCCAGGTATAGCAGCAAAGCAGTATTGGATAGGAAGGAGGACAAAAGGAATGACTGGATAGTTTAAAAATATATATATACTTTAATACAATAAGTGAAAAGTGAATAATAAACTATAAAACCAGTCCTGTATAAAAGTCCAAAATTCTTCCTCACTTGACGCGTTTCGCCGAAGCTTTCTCAAAAGTGAATGCTTGCTGCTTGGGGTCCTTGAGATTATATACCTTCTCTGATGATGAAAATCGATTCTGCTGTGCATATTTCCTCATTTCCTGTTTTCAGCAAGATAGCATAGACAGGAAGTTCTCCGGACACCATCTTGGATGTGGGCAATTTGTGGGAAAGTTCAAAAATAGGAATCCCTGAGAAGAGAGCGCTTATTATTCTTTTGCATTTGATACTTTCAGTTCCTTTATAAGCTAGCTCCTTCTGTGTTGAATATGTCTCTTTTTGAGTATAGAGACAATTATTGTATAGATGTCAATGATATTTTTAACAATATTAATCATGAGGATATCATAGAAGAACCACTTATAAAATTCGATAATATAGAGGAACTTCTAAAAGAATTAGAAAGTTCCCTCATCAAAGAGATGAAACTAAAATGGGAGGTGGCTACACTAAGTAAATATATACAGGAAAATATCACCCCAAGAGGTCTGAGACTTTTTAAAATGCCCACCTCAGATACAGATAATGTATCTTTTATGTCAGATTGGTATAAACATCTAGAGACATGCACTTTTGGACTAATGAAATACCTTATTCAAGTAAAAAATTAGAAACTAACCACCCTAGATAAAAAAATAAATTCACTAAAAGAACAACTCACCCCCTTCAGTGACACACAGGAGTTTTTCGATATATCACTGAAGATTAAGAAAAACGTTGAAAGAATAGAAAGTGACATAAAAAAATTCAAGATAAGCAAATATAATAGAGATGTATATGATTACACACACAATCAAGTTAGGACCTATAACACAAAGAAACGTTACAACAATGGAAATAATACACACATAAGAAATCATCACCAGCACGACATGCACAAACCCACATATTCGCCTGTTAAAAGTAATTTTCACAGACAGAGACTCCGATCATACCACGAACCTATGCACCTTAATCATTACAAAGCCAAAAAGCACTCCCCTATACACCAATACACAAGATCCCCCAGAACCTTTGACACATATGCTAATAAAGCAAGAGTTGACAATATACCAAAACAAGGCAAATTTCAAAAAGAAAAAATCTACACAAAAACCATAACCAACAAAACTGAAAGTAAACGATACAGATCAAAATCAAGGGAAAAATCACCCCAAATAGTAAGACCAAAAACTCACAGATATGCTTACAGACCAACATCCCCAAAGAGAAAAACTGACAAAGAGAACTACAGATGGGAAAAAGTCAATACTAAAACATATAAAAAAACTGAGAGAAGCCGCTCTAGATCGCCCACTGACGTATTAAGAAATAATAGGTACCATACTTTATCTTTTTCCGAACACCTAGACGAGACGTCTTTTTTAGAGATCCCCATAAATCAAGAATTACGTACGAACCATCTTCCCTTCACTCCCATCATAGGCCAGAAAAGATCCCTAGAGGAAGAAGAGCAGGAAGAAAACATGACCGCAATAAAAAAAGTCAGATCAGACCGATTTTAAATACAGATGAAAAAACAAGCATGGCGTCTTCAACTTGTCTAATAAAGTACTAACCAGCATACAAATAAATGTTTTAAAAAAGGGACTTAAATACGCACCAACTAAAACTTTTAATAGTTTTCAGGCTTTTATTGATGTAAATAAATTTATAAGAAATGCGACTTTGAAAAGATTTTATGCATCTAAAAACTTAGAAGAAAATAAAATTATAACTGAAATTGATTCAAATACAAATGTTTATAAAAATAGCCTTTTAAAAAAAAGATCAACTTTTTATCCATCCTATTACAAATCTGGGGCATTAGAAATTTTTGAAAAGAAGGTAAATAGAGAACTTGGTAAACTAAAAATTAACCATAAATATGATAAATTCAATTTAAATAAAAAAGAAAGGGAAGCCATCAAACTTTTAAAAGAAGATGAATCCATTGTAATAAAACCGGCTGACAAGGGTGGTGGACTAGTTATTCTATCAAAGGAGATGTATGAGACTGAAGCCTATAAACAACTCAATGACCCACAAACGTACACTAAATTAAAAAAAGATCCCACAAGTGATATTAGGATTTTACTAACAAATCTTCTAAGAGAGGGTAAAGAGAAGGGGATTTTGACCTTAAAAGAATTTGATTATATTAATACACTATACCCCAAGATCCCTGTAATATATTTTCTACCTAAGATCCACAAAGACCCCATCAACCCACCCGGAAGGCCTATCGTCTCCGGCATAGATTCAATTCTGGCAAATCTTTCAGAATATATTGACATTATGCTCCAGCCATATGTGAAATTAAGCAAATCCTATTTAAAAGACACCATAGATCTCCTTAACACACTAAATAATATCACCTGGAAAGAAAATTACATTCTCATTACTAGTGATGTAAAATCACTATATACAATCATCCCACATGAAAAAGGGATCTCAGCGGTTAAATCAATTTTAGAAAAATATAAAGATATGGATTCTGCTCAAATCGAATTTATTTTAAAGGGAATTGATCTTATTTTACACCACAACTATTTTTGGTTCGCAGACGCTTTTTACCTTCAGATAACAGGGACAGCCATGGGGACCAGGTTTGCGCCCAGCTATGCCAACCTATTCATGACGGAATGGGAAAACAGATGGATATGGGAGGGGCATAGCTGGTGCGCGAACCTGGTCTCATATCATCGCTATATCGATGATCTCCTCTTTATATGGGAAGGACCCATGTCTTCAGCGGAATCCTTCATTAATTACTTAAACCAGAATAATGAAGGTATAATTTTAACTTCCAATTTTAGTAATCATACAGTAACCTTTTTAGATTTAGAACTCTATGTTAAAGAGAACACACTTTGCACTAAAACACATTTTAAGGAAGTACATACTAATACCTTTATCAGCTATGATAGCTGCCACAACCCCATATGGCTTAATGGAATACCCAAAAGCCAATTCCTCAGACTGAAAAGAAACTGCTCAGAAGCATCAGTATTTCACACTCAAGCAACTAACATGAAACAAAAGTTCATACAAAAAGGCTACAACCCCAAAACAATAGACAAAACTATAATATCAATAGATGAGACACAGAGAGAATCACTATTGCTCCAAAAACCACCTAAGGACCCTCAAACCAACAGATTCACCCTTCCTTTGATATTCGACTATAATAATAAAAACAAACATATCAAAAAGATTATTAACAAAAATTGGCATTTACTTAAAGAGGATCCAATACTAAGTGAAGCCCTACCAGATAAACCCACTATAATATATAGAGGTGCACCTAATCTAAAACTACAACTTACAAATAATTTCACTAGAAATCAAAACATACAAAAAAACAATTTTTTAACTATCAATAAAGGGTTTTTTAGATGTAACACGTGCATATCATGTAGAAAAACACACAAAATGGAAAAATGCACATCAGAGTTTAAGTCTAACAGAAACAAAAAGCTCTTTAACATTAATGAAATTTTAACGTGTAATAGTAATAACGTAATCTACATGTTAGAGTGTCCATGTGGACTACAATACGTCGGCAGAACAATAAGACCATTGAAAGTAAGAATTAGTGAACACTGCCGTAATATTGAAAAAGGCTACAAAAATCACTCTGTATCTGCGCACTTTTTACAGCACAACAAAGACCCCAGCCTATTAAATTTTTTGGGTATTGCTAAATATAAACCACATTGGAGAGGGGGCGACACCATCAGAAACATAGGCAAGTTAGAAATGGAGTGGGTCTATCGTTTAGATACCCTCCACCCAAATGGACTTAATATAGAATTCGATTTGGTTCATTTCTTATAATTCATTTTGTAAAATTTATTTTTTATCACTCGTTCTATAACCCATTTTCAATGGGTGTTTATAAATTCTTTTACACCCTTTTATGCAGATACTACTGTGTTTTTATACTATTTATATTTCCCCTAGCTGTATATACATGTCCCCTTTCCATTTAAAGTATGTCCTTTTTCGATATGGCATCCTTTGAGCTCAATTTCTATCACTAGCCCATATCTAAAATGGCGGCCGGAACAGTTTCGTTTATGACACTATCAAGTAATTATATGCTCTATGTGTATCCATTTCTGTAATTATTCAAGTTATTAGCTGATTCAATATGTTATTATGTTATTGTATATTTTTGATCCCTATATTTGAACTTCCCACAAATTGCCCATATCCAAGATGGCATCCGGAGAACTTCCTGTTTATGCTATCTTGCTGAAAACAGGAAATGAGGAAATACACATAGTAGAATCGATTTCCACTACCATATACTCTATGTGTGCCCACATCTGTAATTATTCACGTTTTTATCTGATTCAATATGTTATTATGTTATTGTATACCTTTGATTCCTATTTTTGAACTTTCCCACAAATTGCCCACATCCAAGATGGTGTCCGGAGAACTTCCTGTCTATGCTATCTTGCTGAAAACAGGAAATGAGGAAATATGCACAGCAGAATCGATTTTCATCATCAGAGAAGGTATATAATCTCAAGGACCCCAAGCAGCAAGCATTCACTTTTGAGAAAGCTTCGGCGAAACGCGTCAAGTGAGGAAGAATTTTGGACTTTTATACAGGACTGGTTTTATAGTTTATTATTCACTTTTCACTTATTGTATTAAAGTATATATATTTTTTAAACTATCCAGTCATTCCTTTTGTCCTCCTTCCTATCCAATACTGCTTTGCTGCTATACCTGGGTCCACTATATCCCAAGGTGGGGATTATTCCACCTGAAATTCTCCAAACTAGAGCAGGTCGTTGCTCTAGTATATGTAAGTAGGATCATCCACTTTTTTTTTTCACAATATTTTATATTTACGTACTATACCATGTGGTGTATTTTACTCTTGTTTTTCATGTAACGAATATTTACAACTATAAATTCACCAACGGTCTTGAACCTCAAGAAATCCATAGACGGGGATTATTCCGTCCAGGCTCTTAACACCGAGCTGATATAGCTCCTCAAAGTGTGAGTGTGAATATAACATCTTTGTTCTTGTGGAATTATATCGTTCATACATACTGTACCATTATTTGTATTTTTGTTTCTCTCTTTTTTTAAGCTACTCTGCTGGCCAGTATTTCTACAAAACGTATGTACATTTTCTGATTTTTAGCGCTGTTCACCTTTCTATTTTATCTGTCCATTTATCACAAGGTAGAGGAACACCTTGTTGGTGAACTGCAGCTTATCCCTGAGAAGAGAGCGCTTATTATTCTTTTGCAATTACTTTTCTTAACCTGCACTAATTATGCACACATTATTGCAAAAACTGTAAAAAAAACCACAAAATTTTCATTTTTTTTACATTTTTCTGTATTTTTTTATAATAGATAAGCATTTATATATATGTGTGTTACATCAAATTAAAGCCCTTTCTGTCCTTTAAAAAACAATGTATAATATGTGTTGGTGCAACAAATTAGTAAAATGCAAATTGCAGTTGAACGCAAACAGCAAAAAATGAAAAAAATGCCGTTGTCATTAAGTGAAAGACAAGCTTTTGAAGCTCTGTCCTTAAGGGGTTAACCTGCACTACTTATGCACACATTATTATTGCAAAAACAACACATTTTTCATTTTTTTTGCATTTTTCTGTATTTTTTTTATAATCAATATGCATTTATATATATATGTATGTTACATCAAATTAAAGCCTTTCTGTCCTTTAAAAAACAGTATATACTATGTGTCAGTGCAATAAACTGTCTGTGTCTATCTGTGTCTGTTCGTCCACCCATTATAAAGCGCTGCAGAATTTGACGGCGCTCTTTAAATATTATAATAATAATAATAATAATAAACGAGAGAGATGCAAATTGCAATTGAACGCAAACAGCAAGAAAATGCCAAAATTGCTTGTGTCATTAAGCGTAAGACAAGCTTCTGAAGCTGTGTCCTTAAGGGGTTAAGGACTGAGCCAAATGTACACATTGTGATCAAAACAAAACGTAAACAAAAACTGGAATTTGCACTATATGTCTGTTCAGGCGTAATTCGCCTCTTTCATATTATGTGCACCCACACTTATTATGTATCATTTTATTCAGGGGAAACAGGGCTTACATTTAACATCAGATATTTAGGTATGGGGGGCGTGGCCAACCACAGAGCAAGATGGCCGCATAGAATTTTTCTCCGACGCCTGGGCATTTAATCTACAGCAAGCCTGTTAAAATAAGCTGCACCTATCTATTCCAGCGACATTCAAAAACATGTCACAGCAAAAAAATAAGAAGAACTCGACAAAAAACAACAAACACAACTTATTTAACCAAAAATCGGCCCCGGCAACTCCGGCGGGAAAGGTCTCAACAAACAACGAGGCCTCTGATTTGGAGGTTAACATGCAGAACTCAAGCCCCGCCGCACGCGGGGCATGAGCAGCTCACCAAAGCTGACCTAACCGCTGCTCTGGAAACATTATCCAATAAATTAATAACAACATGGCAGCACACAGCCGATTCAATGAGTGAGAAAGGACATACAAGAACTGGGGAAGCGGACAACAAATATGGAGGACAAGTATGACGAATTCGCCGAAGTACACAACGGCCACCAATGTAGAGAAACTAACAACACAATTAAACAGAATGGAAGAAAAATTGGCAGACATAGAAGATCATTCACGCTGGAACAACTTACGCTTAAGGGGGGTCTCAGAGGACATAAGCAACAATGACCTACCTTCAGGCCCACACCCCAGAGATACGTTATTAATTGACAGAGTGCACCGTATACCCAAGCCTCGTCATCTTCCCCCAATAGTTCCGAGAGATATACTAATGAGAGCTCACTACTTCCATATTAAAGAACACATCTTCAGAAGTAGCAGAACAAGAGCCAAGCCACAGGAGGATTACTCCACAGTACGAATATATGCGGATCTGTCAGCTGCCACACTCCGGAGACGGAAATAATTCTCCCAGGTCACCAGAGCTCTGAGGGCGAACGGCATCCGTTACAGGTGGGGTTTCCCCACCATGCTCCTAATTACAAAAGACGGAAATATAATAACGATAGCCACCCCAAAAGATGGCATAAAGCAACTGAATGACTGAGACATACCAACAACGCTGGATACACATGAAGCACAATCAAAAGCGGGGAAACTCAAGCCGGAGTGGAAAACAGCCCGCAAGAATCATTAACACCAGACGACACCTGGTTCAACGGCTAATTTCTATCGAATGCCCGACAAAGGCTGCACCATGAAACTGCGAACATACAAGAGTGAACATCTCTCCTCCACATAACTATAACTTACCCCAACCTAAAGAAATGGGTCCACAAATCCAAACGGGCCGCCGGATCCAGGGCTTCTGCCGACCCTGTCACGAAGCTGAAGCAGAGCAGTGGATACGTTGCGGGGGACCTGGGTCTGGAGCCACAAATCAGGACTGAGACACTCCCGGTAAGGTAACCATACACCAACAAACACCCTCATATGAGAGACTTAAAAAACTTGCTGGACAAATACAGGACATCCTGATTCCCTTCCTTGGACCGATGTGCAGTCCAGGCACCTACAACACAAAACACATGAATTATAAGACTCAAATCAGTAAGGTACAGGCAATAGCCTAAAAATGTGTTCAAGGGACCACAACATAAATACTAACTCTGGGGAGCTTTGGACAAGACAGTGGGGGTAAAAGTATGTTTAACTTAGGGAGTAAATTATGTGGAACTACTGAGATGGGTTATAGAACTGATAAGATGTAAAGGAGGGGGCTCTGTAATATACTATGAGACCATAGTAAATACATGCATATTTATACCCCATGACTAGACTACACACCCCATGCTCATAAATGAAATGGAAAAAAAAAAGATTGCTCACTTAATGACCCATCAGGACTAAGCCCACTCTGACCACGGAAACAAACTAACACACTCATAATTGAGAGCGGGAATGAAGGGACAGACCTTACCCCAAAACAACAACACGCAAACTGGACTCACATACTGAAACTTAACAGTGACTAGGAGAGTTGCAGCACAATACATAGCAAACACCCAATGGCCACGCAAATGGAGAAACCAACTCACTCCAACCCCCACGTTGTGACAACCTCACACTCTGTCTCCCATCGAGATGTACTGTACATAGTTAACCCCTACCTCCCCAAGTTCTAAACCCTGTGTTAGAAACACTCTCAGATCGGTCAAACGGATAAGGGAAAAAAAAGTGTAAGCCTAGACAATACTTGTGACCGACAAATTATACGAAAAACTGCAAGTCCACACATCATAACAATACAATGCTGTAAAAAGCCACCTGGCCAACAAACAATCACACAGTGCTGGCCCGCGACAAATATGATACTAGGATAAACTGGCACACACAACCATACCCAGCAACACAACACACAAATATATATAGAATATAAAAATACAAACAGTTAATGCATGCGGAATAAACAAACCGCATAAATGCACATTGCTACTAGAAGAAGCACAAACAAGTAAAACAGACATACTTTGTGTGCAAGAAACGCATTTTGTGCATACTGCATTGCAAACTAAACAACACACAATATCTTATAGCAAGTGAACACGGCCCAAATGATAATAGAAAGGAATTTCATAGACAAAGTGTTAACAAAATTACCATCCACAACTCACATACCAACAATAATATGCGGAGACCTCAACCACATCCTACAACCCAAATCAGACACAACCCTACCAAACACATCATCCAGACACAAAAACATACGCAAACACACAGCTACATTATTACATCTAATCTCAGAGTATGGACTCTACGACATTTGGAGAACACATCACCCAAACAATCGAGAATTTACGTTCTACTCACGAGTTCATAACATGTACTCTAGGATCGACTATATATTCATAACAGGGGACTTAATACCGCATGTAACACATAGCAACATAGGTGCCATAACATGGTCAGACCATGCAGCAGTATGGTTGACAATAAAAGATAGCTTCATCTTTCGAGGGACAACACCTTGGCACCTGAATGACACTCTTATACACAATCCAAACTTTAAACGCACACTTGAGACAGAAATGACATAATATTTTAAACAAAACAAAACACCACACATTTCACCTGCCACCATGTGGCAAGCGCATAAAGCCGTCTTCTAGGGACTTCTCGTAAGCAGAGCATCACACCTCAAATGCAAATCCAATCAGGAGTATATAAGCCTACTTGGATCCCTTAGAGACGAAACAACAGATCAAATCTTACAACCATCGTCAGAAAAACAACAACACATACAACAATTACAAAGAAAGATTAATGACATACACATGCTAAAAACTGTAACTCTCACGAACAAACTAAAACTGAACACGTACACGCAAGGCAATAAGGCGGAGAAAGCACTGGCATCACTCCTCAGACAGAAACATCAGAATGCAAAAATACCCTTTTAAACACGCAGGGAAATAAAATATACAACCCACAGGACATAAACAACATGATGGCAGACTACTATGATGGACTCTATAATTTAAAAATGGACACCGACACACATCAACCTCTCCCATCTGACACAGAGGACTTCCTAACAGAAATACGACTCCTTACCCTAACCCGATACGACCAAATAAAATTAGAAGAACCTATCACACTTAACAAAATTTTACAGACAATAAAACCTCCCCCAAAGGGAAATCCCCAGGACCAGATGGGTTCACAAATCTGTATTACAAATCCTTCTCACACATTTTGGCACCCCAACTAGTTAAATTATATACTGCACACAGGAACTACACCCCAATAGATGCTGATAGCCCACATAGCATCACTACCCAAACCAGGCAAACCACCACATAAATGCCAGAACTTGCGCCCAATATCATTATTAAACACGGATCTAATAATACTGGCGAAAATATACGCAACTAGATTGTGGAACATTCTGCCAACTCTTATAAAAGACGACCAGGTGGGATTTGTTAGAGGCAGACAAGGGTCGGATGGGACCAGAAAACTAATCAACCTTATCCATAGAATTCAACAAACTGGGCAGCCCAGTGTGGCCTTGTCACTAAATGCGGAGAAAGCGTTTGACAGTCTACACTGGGGCTACTTAGCAGCTGCCTTGAAAAAAATAAAATTTCCCTCAGCGTTTCCTCACACTGGTCACAGCCCTGCATGATAAACCAACAGCGAAAGTGATTAATGGAGGATACGCATTCAAACAATTCCAAATATCGAACGGTTCTCGGCAGGGCTGCCCACTGTCACCCCTGCTATACATATGGCACTGGAACCATTAGCACAACATATCAGGGAAAATCATAACATATATGGGATAGATATAGGCGACAAAATACACAAAATCACACTATTTGCTGATGACGTGATGCTTACCCTGACCAAACCTGAAACATCTCTGCTGATACTGCAATCGGAGATAAAGAGATTCAGCAATTGCTCATATTACAAACTTAATGTCACGAACACACAAGCTATGAGCTTTAATATACAAAACCCAAGACTCACAAATCTGCATAACAAATACACGTACGACTGGAAGACAAGACCATCTTACCTTACTAGGAATAGCACTTACACCAATAACACAAACTGTACCAGACCAATTATGTGAAACTCCTCCAGGCAACAGAAAACCAACTGCAGGGCTGGAAAGGAAAATACATGTCACGGACAGGTAGAATTGCGGCTGCAAAAATGATGGTGCTGCCGCGACTACAATACCTCTTTAGGACTTTACAAATCGCTCTCCCAAAACAATTCCTCAAGGACGCCCAAAAAGTTTTAAATAAGTTCATGTGTGGCAGGAAGAAAGCCAGAATAGCGTCAGAAGTCATGTATAGGCCTTTTAAAAATGGAGGAATGGGGGTGCCAAGTATCTCACTCCAGGCACTAACGGTTCTTATGCCAGGATTCAACTATTAGACATGGAACCTACATGGCGTGACTCACTTGTCACAAATATTGACGGACGGGCACATGACCGATTACAACACGCTAAAAAGCAAATATAACCTCCCACCTAAAACCTTTTTTTCATATATGCAAATTAAATCGTGGGTAGATAAACACTACAATAGCAAACAGACTCAGGGGAACACGCTCACAGAAATAGAAAAGATATGGATGGCAGAGAAACCACCACAAAAATTACTATCTACCCTGTACAAACTGATCAGACAACATGATCACACAGAAAAACTCAAATTTATGAACATATGGGAAAAGGAAATTGACCAAATCCTAACACCTGAGGAATGGTCACAAGCACAAAAGGCACATAAATAGAATAGAATAAATAGAATACACAGGATGGACCACAAGAAATCAGAGACCTGCTGGAGATGCTGTGCAGCACCGGGTACCATGACACTCACTTGTCACAAATATTGACGGACGGGCACATGACCGATTACAACACGCTAAAAAGCAAATATAACCTCCCATGCCCGAAGCTGACCACATTTTGGTCAGAAATATCAAACGCTATAGAGGGCTCCACAGGTGTAAGACTACCACATACGCCAATGACGTATCCTATACTCATGTGGCCCCAAACACTGACGAAAGGAGATGCATACCTTGCATATCATATACTGTGCATCTGACTTTCTCCACTATAAATTTATGCTGAGCTCATACAGCTTGGCTCGTTCCTCTGCAAAAGTTAATTACTTCAATACCCTCATAACCACACTCTCCCGCGAACCCAAACAACTATTTCACACATTTAACTCTCTTCTTCGCCCTGCTGTTCCTCCTACACCTACTAACTTGACCCCCTCAGACTTTGCAACTCACTTCACTGACAAGATCTCTACAATCAGAGAAGAGATCTCTCATCTTTCTTCTTCCCCTTACAATACTTCCCCTAACTTCACTCCCTCTGCTGTTCTATGTTCATTCGCACCCGCTACATTGGAAGAGGTTTCTGCTCTGCTCCAGTCCTCCCACCCCACCACCTGCTCCCTAGATCCAATTCCCTCGCATCTCATCCGTACTCTGTCTTCTTCTCTTTCTCCACCTCTCACTAAAATTCTCAATCTCTCTCTCTCCTCTGGTATATTTCCATTGCCCTTCAAACATGCAACTGTAACCCCAATTCTAAAGAAGCCCAATCTTGACCCTAACTCCCCATCCAACTATCGTCCTATCTCGCTACTGCCTTTTGCATCCAAGATCCTTGAAAAAATTGTGTATGCGAGATTGACAGACTTCCTCGAGTCCAACTCTCTGCTAGACCTGCTTCAGTCTGATTTCCGTGCTAAGCACTCTGTGGAAACGGCACTGACTAAAGTA